AAATATATTATATATAAGTATAATATATTATATTATGTAAGTATATTATAATTTGTTTTGTAATGTATTAACATGACAGCACTTGAGTCTTCTAGACTTAGGAAGAGTACGACATGAACGGGATTGACTTTCGCGTGCTTGATATTGAGAGTCTCGCATTACTGTATGAATTTATTGAACGATGAGCTAACAAGGATGCGAGACTTGAGCGATGAAGTTTACTGGCGCTGCGGCTGTGTATTGCCTACCACACATGGAATTCCTTGTGCATGTACGCTTCGTACAGCACACGATTCTAAAATGCCGATTGGTATTGACATGATCCACGAGTTCTGGAAGTCACTAGAGATGTTAGAACCAGGTAATTTGTGGTTAATGTTTATGTATAATTTTCTACTTTGTGATTCATTTTAAATTACACATTAAAGTATATTACTTTGAAAAAAAAAAAAAAGGTGCAGGCAGGTCACACGACTCGTGTGCCTAGTGACACGGGTCGTGTGACCATCACACGACTCGTGTCACATGGTCACACGAGTCGTGTGAAAACCCCGTAGCTTTACAACATTTCTCTTGAGTAAGCACACGACTCGTGTGACCGGATGACACGAGTCGTGTGAGTGTCACACGACCCGTGTCACTGGGCACACGAGTCGTGTGAAAACCCCGTGGCTTCTGATCCATTCTCCTCAGTAGGCACACGACTCGTGTGACCATGTGACACGAGTCGTGTGATGGTCACACGACCCGTGCCACATCTTCACACGAGTCGTGTGACTAGTGACTCTGAAAATCTGATTAATGTTTATTTATAATTTTCTACTTTGTGGTTCATTTTAAATTACACATTAAAGTATATCATTTTGTTTAATTGTTTCAATTTTTGGATCATATACTTTTAGGGACAAATCACCAGAGCCAGCATAATCAGGGTGTCTGGACTGATGTTGAGTTTTTTCGGACGCTTGCCAAAGAGGTTGAAGCGAGCGATCCTGCGACGATGCGGTACTGCAATAACCTCCTTTACGGTCAGCTTTACCCGGACCAACAAGCATATGGAGAACCGGAGGTTAAGGAAAATACCCGAGGTCGTCCCAAAAAAACTGATTCTACTAAGCGTGAAGCATCGCGATGGGAGTA